AGCATCAAACATGGAGTTAGATTTAAGCATATCAGAAATCATGTCAACTAATGATTTCTGTAAAAATTCCATTTTAGGGGCAGTCATGCTTCCTAAGTCAAAATTGTCAAAATTTCCGTTAGAATTACTTTGGTTAGTATTTTGATTTCCACCCGCTGCATTAGTAGCAGTTAGGTAGCTCCATTAACTCGCTGAACATTGTTAGCAGCGAGGGGAGTAGGTACAGATCAAAAATTTGAAGCAGGGGTGATATTACCTACGTACCTACGGGTACGAATGTAGAATTTGTTCCTCGCTGACCGTTGTTAACAGCAGAGGAATTTGTACCTGTTCGGAAACGTGGACCGTTTCTTACCTGTCGGTTAGAACGAGATTGTAGGATTGCTTTGCGAGTCTTACATTCCCAAAAATTGGATTTGTGGTTTACACCACAATTTGAACATTTAAATTTCTTAGGATCTTCCTTCACAGGACAGTCGTCCGTTGCGTGAGAGGAATCACCACAATTCATGCATTTAGCTGGCATGTAGCAATTTTTAGTTCCGTGACCCCATCCCTGGCACTTACGGCACTGAGTGAGGTTTTGGAAATTTTCTCCAGTCTTCCTGAAGTGTTCCCACTTCACTCGGACATGGAGCATAAGGCTAGCTTTTTCCAAGGCCTTAAGGTTGTTTAGTTCACTAGACTTGAAGTGAACTAAATAAAAATCATTAGAAATCCCGTTGCGTGAATCGCCAGGACGGGATTTCATTTTCATTTTGATTACTTGAAGTGGCACAACTCCAAGTAATTTTGCCAGTTCATCTTTGATCTGATCCAGGGATTCACCACTGGGCAGTCCTTTCATGACAACCTTGAACACACGTTCAGTTTTGGTGTCGTAAGTAAATAATGTGTGCTTCTTCTCAGTAAGATACTTGAGAAGACATTTAAATCCGTCCAAGGTTTCAGCCAATACACGGCATTCACCCCGACGTCCAATTTGTAGAGAAAACTTAACTTTCACGAAGTTCAAAAGTTCCATGCGAAGAGAATGGAAATCGGATGTGGTTATCACAATAGGGGGAATCTTTTCCTTCTTGGCATTAAGCCGGGAAAGTTTACTAGAATTTTTCTTGGATGATGGATCATTCTCATCATCCGTGAGCAAATCAAATTGATTACTCAAATTAATTTTTTCAGAAGGGGGGTCAAGAGTTTGCCCCTTTCTTTTGCGTTTAGGCGCCATGGCGGCAGTAAATTTTTATCCAAATCGACTTCCAAGCAGATTACTATAAGAATCTGAAGGATCGAAGAGGAATTTTCCAAATCGATATCCAAGAAGGATTACCTCGGGTAGGGTCCAAACAAGGATCGAAGAGGAATAAGAGGAGTTGAACAAGGTAGAAAATTTTTACAGGTTGAGCACTGAAAAGTGCTGTTTAAATTTGTTGTCGTTTTAGGTAGTAGTAACACTTCCTTAAGCAAAAAGCAAATAGATCCGCACGGCAAGAGAGCACGATGCGGACTATGGCATTAGCTCATTTTCGCTTCGGACGGCGTGGTGAACAGCAATAGCAGCAGTAGGAAGATGGTGGCTAAGTCCACTCCTTGACACCTAACAAGCAACAATTCAAGAGCAAATTTTCATTATGTCGTAAGTAACATTCGCACCGATCCGAGAAAAATAAAGTTTTGTTTTGATGACCGAAAAGTTATTCCTATTTCCAATTAAACACATATAATCTCATAGTGATAGCAATGTTTAACATATTTAGCCGGGTTTTAATCATACAAAGGCAAATCGCTAGCTTTCATGCTAAGAAATACTGGTTTTTGAGTCAAAAGTTATTATACGTCGTTTGGTGGCCCCTATTGTTACTTAAGTCAAAGTGTATTTACCAGGATATTCGGGAGAATTTTCAATTACGTCTCCTTACGTGCAGCCCATTCATCATTTTAGGACCACCGAAATCATCTTAGCAACAAACAGTTCGATTTATTCACTTTAATAATGAGAAAGCGAAACGACGAAAGTACACTTTTCACGGGTTTCTCAGTGCTGTTACTTAAGGCAAACGGCATCTCCATAGAAATTGGGTGACTTAACTAACATCGAAAACTATTTTGATCGGAAGGTGATTACGTCAAAAAGCAATTCGACTGGTAAATAAATTTAAAAATGGGATGTGATCCTATATTCGGACAGTATATAGTGTAATAGCAGGAACATCGATTGACACTGATAGCTCGACTTTGTTTACCTTTGTTACATTCGACGTAATGAAAATTTGCTCTTGAATTGACTGGTTGTGGCAAAGGAGGAAAAGGTCTGGTAAAGGAGGCGCCAAGCGTCATCGCAAAGTTCTTCGAGATAACCGCCATCGGTCGTCTGGCTCGCCGTGGTGGTGTCAAACGTATCTCCGGTCTGATCTACGAGGTGTGCTGAAGGAGTTCCTGGAAAATGAGGTCCGTTATGCTGTCACCTACACTAAACACGCCAAGCGTAAGTGGCCATGGATGTCCTCTTCAATTAAACGACCCTTTTCAGGGCCATCAAGCTTACATCAGTAAAGAGTTGGAATAGAATTTATCTGTGCTTGTTTGTCCATATTCAGAACCACAAGCCCCCAACGACCACACAAAATGCTCTCCAGAGTTGTAATCTTGTAACCAAACTTGGAAGCAGGGGTGCAAGTGATTTTGATTGATTCTCTTAATCAACTTTCTATTTGAAAAAAATTCTACAAATTTGGTACGCCTACAATTCAAAACCGGAAAAAGTTGAGATAATAGATAATTGATCAATTAAAATAACTAAATGCTCTTCACATTTATTGCGTCCACTAGCGGTCCTACGTCAAGCTTCCGTTCGTGCCCCTAGGCACAGACCCTTCTACTTTTTAATTTAAAATTCTGAATTCGTTGAAAAAAAATGTTTTTTTACTAGCTATATGACTGAAAAAATTCTCATTTTTTATTGAACACCCGTTATTTTAAGGGTGTTATATCTTGGATTTTTCAAGAACTTTAAAAAATGCGAAAATGTAGCTAAGTTGATAGAGAATGTCAACGAATTTCCATTAATAAAAAAAGCGAGAACTTTTAGCAAGCAGCGATAAATATCTTCAAGAAATTCCAGAGGACTTAGAATTGAGATAGTTTAATGATATTCAGCAAAGTTCCGAGTACTTCCAGGACGATTAGATAGCTTCAAAACAATCCCATTAACTTAAGCAAATTCGCAGAGACTTACAAGGAATTCCGTGGAATTATGTGGTATTCAAAGAATTCTATGATTGATCCAAAAACGTCAGGGAATGTTATATATATATGGCAAATCAATTAATTTCAGTAAAGTGGCGGATTCTTAAAATATACTGATCAAGTTAGGGCTGTATAGAGAACTTTAAATAAATTCAATAATCGTTTAGGTAGTTTTAATAACACCAGGAAAGTCTAGACTATTGAAGAAGTTTTAAATTAGTGTCGATGATTTAATAGAAGTTTCATGAACTTCAGTGAAAATCAAAAAAACTATATTAATTATTTCGTTCTAATTCCATGAAAATTGTGGGAGCACAAAAGTGCCAGAAATTTAGAAAAACTTCGAAAACAAGGACAGTGGTCTTCAGAAACATTTTGAGAACTTCATAGAAATCTTTTGAGCTTAAGAGGAGATCCGCGAACTTCAGGAATTTTTATAAATTAGCATAATGCGGGAGTGTTTGAATTTTTTTTTTTGGAAGCTCCGCAAATTGAAGGACTTTTAGGGAGAGGTCAGTTTCATTAGTTTCAGAAAATTAGTGGGAAATTTAAAGCAGTTCGCAGATTTACAGATAACTTCAAAGACGTTTACAAATTTAATTGAGGTCTTTTGCATGAGTTCGCTGAAGCTCAAACATTTTAAGGAAGGTACAATTAAATTCAGCGCAGTACAACAAGCTTCATGAGAACTGTAAAAACGTTAGAGCAGTTTTGAGAATTTAAGAAAAGAACAGAGAACCTCAGAGCAGTTCAGCATCAGGCTATGATTCTCAAACTACAACTTCAAGGCAAATTCATTAACTTCAGGAAAAATTTGGAAAGTTCTCAGAATAGTCCATTCCATATTCAATGGAAATTTCGATGAAGCTATCATTCGAACTCTATTTTCTTTTAGTTTTCCTCGTAATTACCTTGAAATTATCCACAATAAGACACCCTTTGGAAAGATTGTCAGAATATTCATTGAATTCATTTCAGATTTCCTTTTGAGTCTCGCTCCTTCCCTTGGAATTCTACTCACATTGAAAGTCGCCTAAGAAATCATTGGCAGTTCTACTCACAAATTCCTTAGATTTCTTCTCATATTTTTTTTTTGACAAACTTTCCTGAATTTATTTTCCGAATTCCTTTGAAGATGTCCTGGAGTTATTCTCAGATTTAATTGTAATCCTTCTTTTAGTATTTAAAAAAAATCCAATGACTTATGCTCCGAATTTGTTTTCTCCCACAAACTTTATAAAATTATCCTCAGAGTGCCCTTCGAATTTTCCTTTGATGTTCACAGGAGTTGTGCTCCTCAGAAATTCCTAAGAGTTTTCAATAAAATTTATTTTTAATTCAATTCAGGGTTACTTTTTGGTCACTATTTTAACAACTATAAGTCAATATTTAGTAATTTATTTCTTCAACGTAGTCACTAAAATCACTATTTTTGACAGCAGTGATGGCTACCAGCCCTGCAGGGGCGAATTTAAATTAAAAAATACACAGCAAAAAATAAATTTTAATACCTACTACATTCAAGAGGATGCACTACAATCATGTCGAAAATCTCATGTAATTTTTATGGCCACAAAAATAAACAAATGCAGTGAAAGTGCAGCGTAATGTCAGCCTTCTTGTTTCGAGCACCTATGTCGCTCTTGTCTTCACCATCTGACGCTGTTTGGCTGCAAGGTATGTGATATTTACTATAGTATAATAGAAAAAAAAAATATGTGAAACAAGTGTAACATTTTTTTTGTGCGTAAAAAGCTCATTTGTTGAGGTTTTCATAACTTTTGATTGACAGAAATTATTGTTTCAACCTTTTCTTTCAGTTCATCTGGTTTAAAGACACCTTTCTCGGTGATGATACCGGTAATCAAATCAGCAGAAGTAACATCGAATGCCGGATTCCAGCATGCAATCCCTGTGAATAGAAAAGCAATTAAAACCGTTATTCTGAAGATGATGCCTTCATGCATGATAAAGAATCAATACAAAACCGACCTGGCGCTGCTATTCTGTGCTCTCCTACATGAGTCATTTCACGATCTGGACGTTCTTCTATTACTATGCGATCACCCGACGGAATTTTCAAGTCAATTGATGTGAAGGGAGCTGCCACGTAAAATGGCACATTATGGTACTTGGCTACAACCCCAATCTGATAGGTTCCGATCTTGTTAGCTGTATCACCGTTAGCAGCCACTCGATCTGCTCCCACTACTACAGCTGCAACACGGCGAGATTTAAAAAGTGATGCCACCATGTTATCCAAAATCAGCGTAGCAGGCAGCTTATCATGAACCAGTTCGTACGCCGTTAGCCTAGCTCCTTGATTATATGGTCTAGTTTCAGTACAATAGACATGTTCTGAAAGTAACATTAAATTATTTAGTATAAAGGTCTAATTACACCGGCATCTGTTTTCACACCTAAACGATTCATTTCCTGTAGTTTTCTAATAACTCCCAATGCAGTTCCGTAGCTAATAGTGAGAAAATTTCAAAGATCCGAAAATTAGTTTTATAAAATAAGATCTTATAATATATTGTATTTCTACTGTACCCTGCTGTTGCCAGTGATCCGGTGTTACAATGAGTGAGAATCCGGACGGAGCCACCATTAGGAATGTTGGAGAGAATTTCATTGGCACCATTTTTTCCTATAGCCATATTATCGGCTATATCCTTTTCAAGCATATCTTCGATTGCATTCAGAAACCTATCGGTGAGTTATCAGAGAATTGTAAAATGTAAATTGTAATTGTAAGCAATACATACAAATTTCCAATGTAAGTTTTTGAAACCTTTAATATAATATAATGAAATCCAACGAAAAAAAAGTATAGAGGTTGAGTTAAATTTGCCTCATATGGTATAGAATTTGAGGCTGTATCCGAGGCTGTATCAATGAAATTAGCAAACCGTTTATATGTGCGATAATATCATATTATGTTATTTGGGTAGGTCATAGTAGCAAACTTCGGTAAATGCTAATAAACATCTCAATACTTACCTTTCTTTCATTTTATCCACTGGAACAGATTCATCTTGTGCTAATACGTTTGCCAAGGAAATTAATTCCTCAGCTGCAAGCTTCATATTGACTGCCGTTGGCCGAGCGGACACCAAATAATTCAGCTTGCCTTCAACTTCTTGCTTGAAAATTTGTTTTGAACCAAACATTTCCTCGTATATTTCAACTGCCAACGATAAACAGCCGACAATCGCTATCGCAGGGGCTCCACGTACCTGAAATTGTTATATAATGATTTGTAGCAAGTGCAACAGGTTGTGTAAAATATATGTTTCGCGATATAGTTTGGTTTGAATATCAGTATCGGTATCGTTTTAAATTTATTTTATTTTATTATATTTATCGATATTGGCCCCTTTTTTTGTCGATCGTCAATCGGATGCGTCTTTTAGGCTATGAACCATTTGCCGAGTTAAATTTAACTCGTGGTTAAAAGTGACATTTCGAAAGATATTCTCTATTCTATGCTCAAAAATCCCTGTGCTGTCAATCGACCGGTTTTCGATAAGAACTCAGCCACGGTTGTCAAAATTTAACTTCTTGTCTGTCAGAAATAACCACGCTCGTATAGCAGGGTTAATCGATAACTTTCCATCTGTCAAATTTTAACCAAAAGTTATCGTTTCTAGCCACGTCCGTTCTGTGCTCGCTGTATTAATTTCGCGCGATAGCTGTTGGTTCCGTTCTTTTCAATATGAATTGTGAAATTTGTTCATTTGACTCTCCCGTTGATTCGCTGATGTTGAAATGCACTGTCTGCAGGAAGTACAATAAAAAAGTAGGGGATTTTAATTCTTATCTTCTAACATGCTGCGACTCGTGTCAAGATATACATCTACAAGCAAAGTTAGAATTTAATCGATTAGCGGCCCAACAAAAACTTCTAACGGAGCAACTGCATGCCAACATGGTGACACATCGTTTAGCGATGCAGCAAGAAAATCATCGAATTGTTCACGAAGCTGTCGAAGTACTGGAGGTACTGCTGGTACCCATAAAAAATGAACTGTCCGCAATTAACAGAAAGAACACCTTAGCTGGCAGTGTCGTTGCCATCAAAAATCACATTACATCGCTTTTCGATACAGCAATGATGGCAACGAAAGACAGTGTTGGGCAGAGACAGGTTTCAGATCGTTCGAAAGAAAACACGCAGTTTATCATGAAAATACGGATTATCTTATTAGAAACGTTTTGATCAAAAATAAAACACGCGAACACATTTTGATAATTTCGAGGATATAAAAGAAAATGTCAACAAAAGAAAATGCACTGAACAAAATCACTCCATGGTTTTCAAACATAAAAAACAACTGATATGATCTGTGTTGCCATACACAAATCTCCTTATACCTTTTGGCAAATTTCCATTGCTGATTATTCATAAAATGTATAAATCAACTAATAAGCAGACGCCTTGCAAAAAGTTAATAAAGATCATGTGTCAAATGAAATGTATAAGCGGTCACACATACCTTTCATGCATTCTAATAGGACCTATGTGGTTTGTTTTATGGAATGTATAAGGCTGATGCTTTGGCAAAAATGTATAAGTGAAACACATGAATTAAATAATTGATTTTCGTTTCGTGTACAACAACACTCCTCTTCAACGCATATCATTGCTTCAGTTCATGACATCAAGGCCACACAGCTTTCTCAACGCGCCAAGGATTCTTGAGAGCGGTTTCGTTAAAAGATCAGCTCGCATTATCTCACTCGGGCAGTATTGATACTCCATCACTCGAGCTTGTTTCAAATCCTTGATGAAATAATATTTGGTATCTATATGCTTAGTGTGATTGCTGAACTTGTCACATTCCAGCATCCGCAGGCAGCTTTGGTTATCGTCGTTCATCAGAATGGTTGTCACGTTCTCTCCCAAGTCAACCAGTAATCGCTTAAGCCATAGTGCCTCCTGCGAAGCTTCTGAAAGAGCTACAAACTCGGCTTCAGCTGTCGAAAGCGAAACGCAAGACTGTTTGTGACACGCCCAAGAAATTGTTCCACCACTGTACTGAAATACGAAGCCACTATTCGATTTTCGACCATCACGACACTCCGCCCAGTCGGCGTCTGCAAATCCGACCAATCCCTATTCGTCATCCATGTTACTCAGACGAAGCCGCAGATTTGCGGTACCTTTAAAATAGCCTTTTAAGCTCATTCCAGTCTCGCTGATAGGGTTTGCTTGTTCTCCGACTAAGGGTAGATACAGACGCAGCTATATCTGGTCATGAATTCACTGCTATAAACAGTAACTTTCCAACCAACCGTTGATATTCATAGTTGTCCGATAGGAAGGTTACATCCGGCTCTTGATTTTCATATCCTGAATCCAAAGGAATCGCCGACACTTTAGCGTTTTCCAGACCAGCTGTTTCTACGACATCGGCGATGTAACGCTGCTGACTTATGAAGTAATCTCCTCCTGCATCCTGCTTAACATCAACACCAAGATACTGTTGTACATCTCCCAAACTGCTGATGGCGAAATTCTTCTTCAGTGTCTGCTCCAAAGAATCGATGATAGTTCTGTCGTCGCTTCAAATGATCAGATCGTCAGCGTAGACAAGAACGAAGCAGAGCTTATCTCCAATTTGCTTGCGATATAGGCATGGATCCGAATCACATCTCTGGAACCCTTCTTGAACCAAAACTTCATGGAGCCGATTGTTCCAAGATCGCGCCGCTTGCTTCAATCCGTATAAGCTCTTCTTCAGACGGCACACCTTGTTTTGCGCACCATCTACAGCAAATCCCGGAGGTTGCCGTATAAAAATCTCCTCCTCAAGGTTTTGACGTAGAACTACGGCTTTGTCGACTATACTGGGGTGCAAATCAAAAAAATATGTGTAGTGAAGGAGTGTTAGGTTTTAAACGCTTGTAACATTGTCATTTATAGATGAAATTAAAATCCAAATACGCCAATCGATAGAATATTACATTACAAACCTGTTGAAATAAATATTTTTCCAATATTTCTGTAATTAAACTTTCGAAAATGTACAAATGATAATTTTATCACTGATTTCATGAAATAAGCCTTTTTCGCAAACCCAGTCATCATAAACGAATACCACTTGGTTGCACATCATTCTGCTTGAACCTGAAAAGATATAAATCAGCGCTGCTCTCATGCCTCTGCTCATTACTGCTTCGGACGGCGTGGCACTAGGTCCTGCATCAAGCAGGACTAGGTCAGCGGCTAAAGGTGGATCACGGCATGTCCACCACAATGAGGAATGAGACTTGAAAAAAACTTGCATGTAAAACCCCCTCCCGCATAATAACCACCTCCCCCGTCCCCCTCCCCCTCCCCCTTAACAATAACCCGAAAAAGACATGGACTTTGACGATAATTTTTTTTTCGGAAAATAAATTTTAAGCAAACCCTAATAATGTGTGAAAAATTAATTTTTTACATGCAGAGCCAACATTTTCAAAAAAAAAATATTGCTTAATAGGAGACATACACTCGATGAATTACCAACAACTGACTGTAAAACATATCTGGTACCTCTATATATGCAATTATATTAACATCCAAAGTCCATCCTTTTTTACATATTCTGCACAAAAGAAACTTTTTGCTCCGCCCAATTCATAAAAAACGGCGGGAAATCCTATCAGGTTCTGAACCTGAAAAGATATAAAACAGCGCTGCTGTCATGCTTTTGCTCATTTTCGCTTCGGACGGCGTGGCACTTGGTCCTGCAGTAAGCAGGACCAAATCAGCGGCTAAAGGTGGGTCACGGCGTGACCACAATGAGGAAAAGTTTTGTATGTAAACCCCCTCCCCCTTTCACAACAACCTCTCCCCCTCCCCCCTTCACAACAATCTGTCCCCCTCCCGCCTTCACAACAATCTCCCCCCCCCCCCTCAACAACCTATCCTAACCCCCCCCCCTCCCACGCTCATCAACAACCTTTCCTAAAATCTCAAAAATATTTTTAAATAAAAAAATTATTTTTCACCCACGACATTCCCGGCGAGAAACCATTCAAGGTCGTCATCAGGGGTCTACCGAATTTTGACCCGAAGTTGATTGAAGCGGAAATCAAGAACCGCTACAAGCTGGCCCCAACTGCCGTCTTCCGGATGACAAGGAGGGACGAGAACGTCAAGAGGTATCCGGATTGTCTTTTCCTGGTGCATTTCCAGAAGGAAACGGTGACGCTCAATGCGTTGAAGGCTATCCGCTCCATCAATTCCATCATTGTCCGATGGGAGCCATACCATGGCGGCCGTCACGACGTCACCCAGTGTCAACGTTGCCTGAATTTCGGGCATGGCACCCGAAACTGCTTCGTCAAGCCGCGCAGTGGCAAATGCCCCCAAAACCATATCTCCTCCGAGTGTGTTGTCGACGAGTCGGAAACGACCAAATGCGCCAACTGTAATGGCGCTCATCATGCATCCGACAAACAGTGCCCCAAACGCGAAGATTTCAAACGGATCCGAAAGCAGGCGTCCACAAGAAATCAACCAGGACGAAAGAAGGACAATACGCCGGCATTCAGACTGGAGGATTTCCCGCCTCTTCCTGCTACGAAACACGGTCAAGCAAATCCACGGGTGCAATCCGGCTCCCGCCAAGAAACATCTGGTGCCTCAGCTGGACAAAGCTCTCCATCCCCCCTGGATTCTGGAGACAACCACCAGCACAAAACGCCAATCCCGATCTCTTCTCTGCGGATGAGCTGATAAAGATTTTCGTCGACATGACCAGCGCTCTTCGTCAGTGCCGCAGCAAGCCCGAACAGATCCAAGTGCGTAAGTTTATTATTCAGTATGGTGTCTAAACCGATAACTGTCGACACATGGAACGCTTGCTCTGTAAGAGCAAAAAGACTCGAGCTTGCTGACTTCCTCCGCAAGCATAGTATCGACGTGGGCCTCCTAACAGAGACCCATCTTAAATCCGGTGACAGCTTTTGGTTGCCTGATCACCACATTATCCGGTTTGATCGTATCGACTCCAGGGGGGGGGGGGGGGTGTTGCGATCATCATCAAGAAAGGAATCCAGTTCTGCACGCTGCCGCATATTCGCACTTCTATCATCGAGGCCCTTAGTGTGGAGGTGGAATCACCAACCGGAAACGTCCGGTTCGTCGCCGTATACTGCCCTCGTCAGTGTGCTGCCAGCAACGGACTAAGGATGAAATTCAAGAACGACCTCACCGCTATCACTCGCACGAGCTCACGATTCG